ATATATATATATATATTTTGTTTTGGTGGTGATGGGGGAGGATGCTGGCTATTTCTGTGCTGCACCTGCCAGTGTGTATATAACTGTTTTATAATATATAGAGTTAAAAAAAGTTTAATCTTTTATTATTAAGTGCTATTTGCTAAAACAAATTTATTTAATAAAGTAAAAATAAAAATATTGAAAGTTTAACACACACACACATATAATTTCCTCTAATGTTAATGATATAGTGTGAATTTGTTATTCTATGTGGGTTACAAAGTTTTGTATATTTAATGAGTCAAGCTATACCCAAAATTAAATCCTCAGTTAACGTATATAAAAACATATGAATATCTTTAGTAGTGGTAGAACTGGATTTTGAAGATAGATTCAAATGTGTCCGATACTACAAAATATTCCTTGCACTTTAAGTTGTGGGTGTATTATAAGAGTGGCAGTCAATATCTTAGTGTGGATGGTGTGTGGTAGGATGCTGCAGACTGTCTGCCTTCCATCTGGTTCAAAATTAGAGAAAGTGGCAGGTAGCCTTAGTAGCTTTGCCGTAAATAAAAAATACAAACTGTTAATGATTATTTCCAGTTTTTACTATGAGAAGGAATACTGAAGAATAATAGATTAGTATATTGTATAATTTGTATTAGATTATGCAAATATTTAGCCCTGTAGTTATTCTTGTAAGACATATTTAATGAAATTGCATTTTTTAATCAGGGACATCTATTAAAATAAAGAGTTTGAGTTCAGATTTATATTAATTCAAAGTAGTCAAACTTTTTTAAATTCCCCTATGTTGGGTTCAGAATGGGAGGGTCTTAAAACAATTATTGGTTATCTAGCTTGCATACTTGGAACTAAATATTTTAATTACTAAGAAAATAAAGATCATTTAAATTTTTTGTTCATATTTGCTGATTTTGTTTTAAAATCCTTGAAATAGTGAATTTTGATAAAACAACATAAACTGATGCACATGAAATGAAAGACATTCATTGTAACTCATAATTGATTTTCTTAACACTCCTTAGTACCATTTGTATTCATCACTGTAAAAGTTTAAAGTTGGAATCTTGAGATAATTTTCCAACATAAGAGACTTTGTGGCATCACGTAAATATAAAATTATCTTTGTGTGAATACAAATTATAATTATAAATATAAAGTTATCTTTGTGTGAATACAAATTATAATTATAAATATAAAATTATCTTTGTGTGAATACAAATTATAATTATAAATATAAAATTATTTTTGTGTGAATACAAATTATAATTATAAATATAAAATTATCTTTGTGTGAATACAAATTATAATTATAATTCTATCACATCTTTTTTCAGCATTGCTTAGAAAGTTATATGACAAAACAAGAATACCTGTTGTACCTATATATGGTGGATTTCCAGTAAGACTTCGGTAAGTGTATTAATAGTTATCAGAAACAAGGTATTTCTATTTCTTAATGTCTTCATACTGTTCAACTGAACAAAATAATTTATTTTTGGAGGAATGTTCACTAGTTTTATAGAGCTGTGAATTGCACGACTGTTTGTTATGTACAGTTTAATTGTTCACTACAGTTATCTATCTTATCTTGTATTGGGTTATTACATTCCCACAAATATAACAATTAGAGCATAAACAATTTATATAAAATGTTTACCTTTTTTAACGTTCAGTAACCTTTGAAAAACAATAAGATGGTGAATTTTTGGATGAATTGTGTGTGAACTATGAAGTAGGAACAAGAAATGACACATCAGTATTGTTTGATCTAATTGTAGCATATGAACTGTGAAGTAGGAACAAGAAAACGCAGTAATATTGTTCTAATTGTAGCATGTGAACTGTGAAGTAGGAACAAGAAACAATGCAGTAATATTGTTCTAATTGTAGCATGTTAACTGTGAAGTAGGAACAAGAAACAATGCAGTAATATTGTTCTAATTGTAGCATGTGAAGTAGGAACAGGAAACAACACAGTAATATTGTTTTAATTGTAGCTTGTGAACTGTGAAGTAGGAACAGGAAACAACACAGTAATATTGTTCTAATTGTAGCATGTGAACTGTGAAGTAGGAACAAGAAACAATG